AAAAACGACCCACTTGATGGTTTGTGGGAACCCTGAATGAATGTCATTCTCATCATCCTCATCATCACCCTCCTCCAAATCATCATCATCATCATCATCAGCCTCATCAACAACGGCATAATCATCATCATTATTATCATCATCATCATATACCACCTAAGATCACTTAAGATCTGTCATGCTGCCGTCGCGATGGTGCCAAGCTCATTCTTTTATGGCATACACGGCCGCCTCCACTCTCTTCCTCGTTTGCCGACCAGCAATCTGGGCCTATCCGACACTCCCCTCCAACTCAGCTCCACTCCTTTCTGCCAAGCTCATCGTCTCTCTGGCTCTTCTTCACTTTTTCTTTCCTTCTCTTCGACTGTTCATTTCTTCCTTCCTTCGTTTCTTCGCATTTTGAACTCTGTTTTTTAGATCTCCTTTCCTCATTTCTTCGCTCCTTTGCATCGCTTCTTTTCGTCTCTTATTCTCCTCACTTCTTCGTGCCTTGCCTTCGTTCGTCTCGGTCTTGAAAGCCGTAACGACGTTGCCAGCGCGTGAATGGGCCGGCATGCAAAGTGATGCATGGCGAAACGCCTGGACGGGGTCGTACCAGATGACCTGCCCCCTGATTCTGGCCAGAATAGATAAACGGGAATCAAGAAGTCCGGCCAGAGTGGCTGGTTGCAATTTAGTACCTTTCGCGTGGGCTGCCGATCATTCGGCCGACCTCACGTTTTAGTCTCGCGTCCCTCGGTTCCAGGCTCCGGGGCAAAGTCCCTCGACATCGCGGAATCACAAAAGGTCAGGGGATCCAGAGTGCAGACGGAATAAACCTGGACTCGGCCACTAATTCTCTCCTCCCAAAGTCATAACTCATTCCGTGGCCCGGGCCAAAGTGTGCAATATAAAAACTTAATTGAGTAATGAAGTAAATAAATGAATAAACAAATAGACAAATAGACAAATAACGAAATGCATAAATTATGCATAAAAACTGGCTTTCGAAGCCTCCTCTAATAGATTGATGCTGGAGTACTTTCTATTTCGTTGGCAGAGGCGAATGGAAGAAATTCCTAAGTTGGTCTCATCAGAAGCTGTAGGGGGATTATCTTAGAGCTGTGATTGCATATTTGTGAGGATAGGTCCTCGGCGCACTGCTCTGCAAGCCCAATGAATCCTTGCTGAATTTTCATCCGTCTCAACATTTATTGCCTAGTGCTTATGAAGAAGAACC